GAGTGTGTATAATTTACTGACATCTAGAGGTGAAGTTATGTGGCAGCTAAATACTCCTCATCTCACCCTCCCTTTCCCAACATGAAGGAGAACCTGTGGTGAACTTCAGTTGTCATGAAAACTCAAAAGGTTTCAGTTTGTCCAGTTTGGACGACAGTGAAAAACATGGTCGGCCTCCACAAAGAGGAACCCCCCCCCTCTATGTAAATATAGTAAAGTGTGGTAAAGAAAACAAAATTCATACAATTTAGATGAAACACACCAGTGAAAACATCACTAGGTTTATTTTATATTCAATTTCTGTCAAAAATCACTTTCGCCTAAATCTTACAAACTGAACCTTTAAGATTAAATTAACTGTTGTAGTATTATCATTTTTAAATAACCCAGCATGCAATACTTTATATATTTCGATTATTTTGGTGCAACTCCCAGCTAAATTAAAATACACACTACAATAGATTATCAACATGGTGTCACCTTCAGAAATCATGCTGTTGTTACTCAGTATAGTCCCGAGACTTTGTCAGATCCAGTTTCCGTGAGAACTACTTCTTACTCGAATGAGTCCAAAAACTGATTATGAATCAAGGATATTGATCCTTGGGACGACAATGAAGGTGTTATGTCTTAATGAACAACTGCTTTGTGCACAGCAGCAATGATTACATTCATGTTTCACTTCAATAAATTCTTATTACATTCACATTCCCATTGTTCATCATATCTGCCAATGCATATATTACAATGCAATCATTTACTGCACTTTCCTCCATCTGTAGCGTAACGGTGTATATTATGTTCTTATTCTCTGAATTTGATTGTTTTCTTTTTTATTTCACTTGATTGCTTATTTGATTCTATATATAATTTCACAGGTTCTCTTGTCTACCTTATTTTGACTATCTGCTGCTCTACCAAGTGAATTTCCACGATGGGAGATCAATAAAGTTTCTCTTATCTTCTCTTACCTCATCTTATCTTATAAAGTAGTTCAAGATTTTGGGAAAAGCAGTTAATCTGTAACTTGGCCAGAATTAGATGAGAACATTGAAACCATTGTGTCTGTGCAGCCTGCAGCTGGTTAGCTCACTTAAACACTAATACTCTACGGCTCACTCATTAACATGCTAAACCTTGTTTATTCTGTATGCAAACCATAGTATCTAAACAACAAATTGTGAAGATTACATGCTGGATTATTTCTTGGTTGAGGATAGCAACTTCCTCGAGTATCGGCCAGTTGCCTGGCAACCTGACAACTCCAGGAAGTTAGTGCTCCTGGCCAAGAAAATAGCAATGTGTCGCTTTGTGTGCCAAGTTGAAATGGAGTGGAAAACTTGTGCAACTGGCACAAACCGGCGCACGCAAGAAAGCTCCTGGAGCCTTTTAAAAGTGGTAATGCTCTTTAGATTTATGATAATATATGTATTTATGACACATGATCCTCGGCCCTCCTGGAAGAAGGATTATTTTTAAACCATGGGAAAACCTTAAAATATACTAGTGGGTGACAACAATGTATCACACCCACACAGATCAGACACTGGGACACTGAGATGAATGGATTGAAAGCAAGCAAGACATACACTACAAATATTAAACTTTTACCAATACTGAATATTTATACTCAACACAGTGTTGAGTTATAGTATCTGAAATCCCACTGAGAGGACAAGTATTTTCATATTTCTAGTTTCGACAAGCTGACTTTTAAATCTTTATAAAAATACAGTTTGTTGGATAGAAATGAAGCCTACACATATAACTATAAGATCTCAACCAACAAATTGGGTGGCTGATGATATCGATATGAGCCTTTTATTTCACATATTTTACAGAATAAACAATGCAGAAAAGATCTGTAGTTATGTTTACATTTTATGTGAAAAAACATTTCCTTTTTTAAATCAAGTTCCATATATTAGGTTGTTTTAGTTTTTTTTATTGTTTACAGTTATTTATAATCATGTCAATGTTATATTGTAAAATAACAATTAAGATTTGTTGTCCAAGGGCCTTGATTACAACATCAAAGAAATCAATGTCAATTTATTTTCCATATATAAATATATATCAGCCAAAATATCAGCGTAGTAACAATAAAAAAAAGATGCCACTAAGTAAGCTCCTTAATATGATGCCTTCAAAAAGGATCCAAGTGTCCATGATGCATTTTCTAGCTTTTATTAAAACTTAAATTAAAAGCAAGAATGACAGAAAATATCAGAACCCTCCTCCTGTCTTTGACTCTAACACAACAAACAAATCGATCTATATCCTAGTTTCAATTAAACAAATACCTGCAGCCTAAGCAAACACAGGTTGAATATTAACTTTGGCTCAGACAACAAGTATTGGAACATTTTTACTCCCCCAATACCAGTACTGGCATCAGCCCCCAAAGATCCATGTTGGTTCAGCTCCATTTACAAAGAGAAAATAGGTCACACAGGCCAACTTACCTTAAATGAACTATGGACTAGTGTTTCATCCAAATCAATGACCACACAGATCTTCCCCGCATCATTCGATTTTATCCGTGGGAGTAGTGGTTTTACTGGAACCTGAAGACAAACAAATTTAGTTTTAGAACTAAAGCTTGTTATTGGAAAATGTTGCCTTTAATTGCTTTCAAGCCCACAATATGAGTAGCTATATTTACAGGTAATTAATTTAAACCTGAGAAAGTACCATCTCAATATGTAGGACATACTGACATACAATTGTGCGTGTGTGTTTCTTGTCACTTAAGAGACACTGGCTTGTGTTGTGATGTTTCGGTGAAGGGTTACAAGAAACCTTGGATGCTACAGCTGCTGCAATGTTGATGGAGCATGTCTAATATCCTCATACTGTGCCTCATCCTTCAGCAAGTGGCCAGACATCAGTGTTTGCTAGTGTGATTATGATTCTAAAAACAAGTTGGCATGACCGGACAGGCTGTCTGTAATACTGGTGCATGTGTTTGTCTGTGGAGTGCGAGCTGCCATGTGAGGATAATGGCAGAGCTGGAGTTTGACACAGATACCACACAATCTGCCAAGTGAAGATCTCCTGTAACTTATTCTCTGCCATGGTTGACAGCAGTGCCTTAGTGCTGTAAAAATAGACCAACAGCATTTGGCAGCAGATTTTAACTTCTGGGATAATTCAGTCTTTCACCCCCACTTCTGAAAACTCAAATCAGTCCTTCGATGCTTCACAGTTGAGGTGCAATACCTGCTCGGTTGGTGGAATGCAGTAGTCGCAGTCACAGGCCTCAGAGGATTCATCGTCACTCTGCTCCTCCTCTGAATCTCTGCTCTGTTCGTAGTCGCTTTCCTCAGTCTGTTCATCGCCTCCCTCAAGTTTGGTATGTTCAGAGACAACACTGTGGATAATATCTAGAGGATGCCTCATTCCTGTTGAAATGTCACTATCTGATTTCATGTCCGGTTCTTCCGCAGCAGAGCAGCTGGCCAAGTTCTCGCTCAGTTCAATATCTTCACTAACTCCAAATCTGACTGCTTGGCACTCCGCTGGACCAACTCCAGGGGCCTGGAACTCAGTAATAAGTCCACTCGGGGCTTGTTGAACAGATGACTGAACACTTTTAATCTGATACGCATAGTAATCCTCAACACCTGGTTCATACGCCTCTCCATCACTTTCATTATCTATAAGCCACCAATATGGCTCCATTTCGGAACATTCAATAACTGCTTGATCGTCAGGCTCCGACTCGTCATCCTTTCTGCAAATATCAACTGTAGAGGCACTGTCGCCAAGGGAGTCATAACTCTGGGTGTTATAGACCTCTTCTTCATAAGCATCACCTTCAACAGAGATGTCTTCAGCACACGGTGCAGACATGCTCTCCTCATGACCAGAGGACAGGCAGATCTCCTCTTCCTCTTCATTGCAGATATCAGAAACATGGCCCTCAGATGTTTCTCTGTCAAAGGTGTCTTCATCTTCCTCTGCTTCCTCCTGATACTCTGTGTAAAGTTCATCGGCTTCACTTTCTTCTTCTTCTTCTACTTCATCTTCTAAATTTGACTCTGAATCTATGATCAAGTCTTCAGGTTTTTTCTCTGACTCACAATCATCTCTTTGACTTGCATCACATTCTACTTCAGGACATGCATCTGCTTCCTGAGCATTAATTTCCTCACTGGCTTCCTCATTCATATATACATTTTTGGTACCACGTCTTGCAGCCTCCTTTTCAAGATTCAGGCATTCATGTACATCACCACCATCAAAGCAGGAGATGTAATGCCGCTTTGGTGAAAACGCGTGTCCGTAATGGTCTGCTCTGTCAAACAGATCAAAGTAATCCCCAATTACAATATCAACAGCAGGTGTTTTCTTTTTATCCTCATTACTTTCGTCAGCGTGCCTTTGTTTTATTTCTTCATCATCTTCAAAAGATTCCCACTGCGTCTGCTCATCACTTGAATCTTCCTGAACTCCCTTTTCAGATTCCCAAGATGAATCGGAGCAGGGATCTGACGGAATACTGCCTTCAGGACAGGTCTTAAAGGATTTTGTTTCAGTAGAGGAGCAATCGGAGAAACTGTCTTCTTCAGTGTAAAAGCTGTCAGAGGTTTTGTCAGAAGTTGCACACTGCTGCGTGCTTTCATACTCTACACTTCCACACATCTCACAGTTATCTGTTGACATGTCTAATGTAGGAGTTTGCTGAGAGAGTTCTTCAGTGTCCTCAAAACGGACATGTTCACTGTCATCAAAGCAAACAGGGACCAGTGTGTTGTAATGTGATGCATTTACATCTTCTGATAGTCTGGCCTCAGTTTCACTTGGTTCACATGGATAGCTCTCTTCATCCTCATCTTCATCCTCATCTTCCTCCTCCTCATCACCATTTGTGTACTCAAATTGCATTTCATCATACTCACAAAGTTCAGTGCCACAGTCCAGTGAGTCCACTGAATCACGGATGTTGGGCGGGAAACCACTCATTTCACAGTCCTCTGTCGAAGTGTCTGGTTCAGAGTCAGAGCACTCGCTCTGCTGATCAGGAGGCTCATATTGTTGAAGTAACTCAAGGTGCTCAGTGCTCTCCGGTATGAAATCAGACATTTCACACAGCCCTAAACTGTCACATTTTATTGCCAATTTGTCCTGTTCAAAGTCGAGAGACTCAAACTGTTGGCCAGGGGGCTTGCATTGTTGAAATAGTCCGAGGTGTTCCGCACAGTGTTCACAGCAAGGACATTTGTTACAAGCTACGCTATGATTAGCACTCTGCTCAGAGGACTTGCAAGGTTTAAAACACTCACAGTGTTGAGCACATTCATTAAATGGTTGGCTTAACCTCGAAGTCTCACACTTATCAAGGGTTTGCTTGGATTCAAAAAATATGTTGCTTGCTGAATATTGCTCAAAGCTCTCAGCATGTCCGTTGCAATATCTGCTGTATTCAGCCTCATCTCCACTCATCTTGCAGTGCTCCATGCAAAGCAGAGACAAGTCCATAACTCTGACATCTTGCTCTGTGTAATCCACAAGGACGTTCATGCCAAGTTCAGCGCTTCCTTTTGAAGGGCTGGTTAAATCTGCAGCTTCTGTTAAATCGGGAACTTGGCATTGTTCTGCAAGCATGGTCTCAGCCGATAGCTCCCCTTCTCCAGAGACTTTAGCTTGCTCAGAGTTTTCCAAATACATCGTGAAATTATTTGTCAGTCAATGTTTGCTCAAAGTTTATCCTCCATGCATTGGGTCAGGGTGTTGTCGTCTCTAAGGATCCTGCGGAGTACAAGTCCAGCAGACTGACGGGTAACTGTCAGGGTCCATTCAGAGTGGATATTCACATGGCTGGAAGGGGGAGTCACTGAAGACCCCCGCCAGCCTGAGAGAGTAACAGCAACAGGAGCAGCATGCACGATGACATGACAGGTTGTCACAACCAAAACTGAGACTAGCACTTGACTCGACCCCCCTCTGCCAGAGACCAAGCAATTTATTTTTGGGACTTGGAAAGAAGTGACAAATAACTTCTGGAATATCAAATCTCTATAAAAGGCTGAAGTCAGGCATAAATCGGAAACTGACACCTGAGAAGATTTTGACTACTTGATCTCCAGACCATAACTGACTAAAGCCAAGTTGTTTTCCAAGACTATAATCACTTATGTGATGAAGTATGATCACTTTTTCAAAAATGTAAAAAATATACATAAAGGAGTAGTGGTCATTGGGGGATTAAGCACCATCTTTGCAAAAGTAAACCAATAAATCCAAATCCTAATTACATTTTTTCATATTCAAACACCATTCAGACATATCTCTACCTAATCATTGATAAATTATGTAATGGATCAGTTATCAGTGTCTATAATTATTGAATAATGCCTGATAGCAGATCTGTATCATAGTTTTCTGCTCTAAGCCAAAGGATATCTCCAATGCAGAATCTAGTGTAGTGTGTCCTGCTTGTGGCACCGCTACAGTATCTGTTTTTGGACTTTTGGCCGAGCAGCGATCTAACTGTCAGAGCAGCACTTCTGTAACATTTACTCCAATCATTGCACTTCTTGTAATTCTTCTTCGTTTTGATTGATGCCTGAACATGGAGTACTTTTCAATGTTGCTGCACGGTACTTCTCGTCACAGGAGGGGTGAGTAAACAAGAACAGCTTTGAGCCAAGAAAACATGTGTTTCAGGCATCACACGGCTGTCAATCAATGCTGACCACATGCTGCTCAACAGACGAGCGAGGAGGAAGGCGAAAGAAAGTCAATCTCATGAGGGATGTTGCCAGAGGAACTTACTTTTGGCTGAGTCCCATTTTCTTCTACTAATAAGGGGACGTTGTTCTTCACTGGAGGTGGCTCTGATTCTTTGTTACACAGGCAGCAGAAGAGACTGTGGAAAAGGCCTCTGCTGCGATGCTTCTTTGATGGGGAAACTGTGTTGGCACCTGAAGCACAATGAGAGAGAAATAGAGGTTATATAGGGGTTGATGGGCATATTGTACTGATTCCACATTCCTCAGAATCGTTAGATATATATACATTTAGGTAATGGGTGAAACTGATACTGTTGCTCTTTTATCTAAATTTAAAATCTGTGGAAGTGACTGTGATCATTCTTCAGGCAGTAACTACAGTTATAATGCAAATCAATGGACAATGTGGGTTTCATATGTTCTATATGCAGTTGTGTTGCTACAGTTTTATTCCATCAGTAACTAGAGTAACATGTATTTTGTTAAGTCACATCTGACAAGGGCTGGATCCGCTTTGTGAGATCGGTATTGGCACCAGCGCTCGTCCAGTGTATCTGATCCGGGCAGCACTTTATGTCAGCCGGACCCCTGCTGTGTTCAGTGGATAGCCTGTCTCTGGCTATTTCAGATGCATAGCAAAAGGTTAAAACATATTGCATAACAGAGCAAACGTGTACGGTTCAGCCCCGAAAATAGTCAGGTGAAGACATCCTGGTGTATATTATTATTCTTTAATTCCAAGAATTTGATTTTATTTGTTTCTCTAAGGAATGCATAACACCAAACACTGCACAGACAGAGGCATCATGTTCTATATTTCTAATAACAAATAGCTGTTGAATACTTATTTTTCTGATAAACCTGCAAAACAAACAAATTAAAAAAACCTTTTATGGGCTGTCTATGCAATACACACTCACACTGCTTTCCAAAGGAAGCTGACTATTGTTTTTAAATGTTTTTAAAGACCACTTTTTGCTTTTCCAATCTACCTATACGAGAATAAGACTATGACATTAAAAAGAAAGAATATATTTTTATATACTATGAAGGTTTTTTTGCATTCACCTTTAAGAACAGAAACTTGCGCTTAATATTTGTGACCATGAAGCAAAACAAAAGTAAAGTTGTTTACTTTTAACTTTATAATGAGTTTTTGCACATTGCAGTGAGAAAAGATAAAATGAATGAAACATGAATAGTTTCAAAACAACATTAAACATTGGTATTTTCGGTTGCACACAAGATATGATATGTCCTCAGACAAAAACACATTGATTGTATAAATTTTGTCTTCACTAACCCATGTAACAACTGCTAGTGGCATATACAGGTGGTAGAAAACATCACCAGCTGGTGTAAGGCGTGTTGAGAGCTGGTATTTAGAAAGAGAAAAAAACTCTGAAAACTAGCTGAGCCCTGACGACCAGTCAGAGCTGTCAGCCAAGACATTAGCAGGCTGCTCAGACAAGACTAAATCTGTAGCCTCTGTGTGCGGCGCATCACAGACCTGTCAACCTGCTTTGGGTGTAAATGTGATGATTGCAAAAGTAGTGCCGGTGGGCAGTCAACAAATAGAGGAGCTGGCAAACCACGCTGAAACGAAACAATACTGGATGTTGTATCAAATCATTGTCACATGAAATAATCTGAACTCACTTAAGGCAAAACGGATTTGTGGCTTTTCTCTGTCCTATGTGATAGTAGAAAACAAATATACATACTGAGAAACTCCTCTGTTGGACCTTAAAATGTTTTTATTTTTAATTTTTGTAATCACTTTTTTAGAACAAAAACTCAGTAAACATAGAAAGTAATTGTTAGATTATATCAATAAACAAAGTAGTCAGTAATTACAACCCTGTGCTGTATGTTTACTGTTCACCTGGATATATAATCAGAAGCCGATGTTTTTTTTAATCACCACATTATGATAAATGTTATGACATATTTTAATATTATTGTGGTAACTACTGGCTTTACATAGAAAACACAAACCCCAGACTATAAAATGAAGAAATCTGAAAATATATCAGTAAAAACAAAACACATGAAATATAGACATATAAAAGCACTTACACTTTAGTATACATTTATCAATAACTGCTTCAACTCATAAAAAACACCATTAACCTTTCTCTTCGACCCAGTTTCACCTTCATCTCTGAGCACATTTGACCGACTTTCCCGTGTTATTCCCTATGGATTTGGCCTGTTGAATGCTTCATTCAACTGGAGCTTAAAGTGGAGATGCCATTGGAGAGCAGGTCATTATAGCGCGGATATGCTCCCTGGTCCCAAGATAAAAGGTTTGTGTGCAAACACCTGTGGCGAGGGAACTGGGCAGGTGAAGCCAGAGTGTTAAAAGACATCATGCTGCCCGGTGCATTACCACTTCTGAAATTACACATCAGAACGCTAAAAATAGGCGAGCAGATCAGCTGCTGACAGCGGTTAATGATGAGATTCTCTGTATGCATGTGCCACATACTCAGACCAGGCCACAAAGAAAACAGCCCTAGACAAAGCCTTGTTCAACGTACACTCCACAGCAGGACATGGCTCAGCAGCATGTGTACACTGAGCAGAAATGTTTCACAGTGCACCTAGAGAAAAATGAACTAAATTAAGCCACTGACACTGTACACTCTGCAACATCATGTCATTCCCAAAGCCTCCTAACTATCATGTCTACATTGCAAATGTCAACATCAACAGAATGTGGGCCTGAACAGGCGACAGTGGCTCCTTCTGGAATGACTTCAGGTCCAAAATAAAATAGGTCATTAAAACCAAACCAACCAAAGCATGCGAAAAGGTAATGCCTCCCAAACTTGGTTGACTGGCTGTCCCACAATAGGCTACAGTTCAAATAATTCTAATAATTGTCCGTTTAAGGTATTGGCACAGTTTCTCAATTAGATTTAAGTTCGGACATGACTAAGCAACTTGTAAACTTTGATTTTATTCCTTGTGATTTTATTTCTCCGCTGATGTCTTCCCAAGAGGTGCATTCATGGACCCTCGGACACGCCATCATGGTACTACATCTGCTAGCTTAGCCACTTCCAGTGGACTTTAAGGCTAAAAACTTGGTGTACTGTAAATGACCTCATTTTGACTCGAATATGAATGTCAGGGCTTGGGGACACTTGGGTGACACCACACGAGCAAAATGGAGGCATGTTAATATCTTAAGTATTTTGTAGTATTGACAGTAATTAACTTCTCAAAAAGGAGATAAAACACATGATGAACAAAGTTGAAATGCACTTATTTCTATAGACGTCATGATAACATTGTTATAATACCGTGATTTATCTTTGCCTAATTGATTGCTAAGTGATAATCTAATAACGTGACAGCTTTATTTGCCATTATTACCTCATGGACCTCCTCGGGGGATAAGCCCTTTAGGCTGGGAGTAACAGATGACTGTACAATACAAAAGAAAAATATCATAAAAGTTTTTCATTTCTGCATAATCCCTCATTTAATTGAATTGCATGTGCATGTAACAAGAGCTGTAACACATCTCCTTCTACCCAAACTATTCTATTACCCCTCATACATATTGAGCCGTGTCTAGTAGTTTACTTCAAAGTTTTTTCATGCCCCAAATAGCCTGAAGCAGCATAAACAGCTCTTTACTCAGCAGCCCAATGTTGCATGTGTAGGTCAGATGAAACAGCACCAATGAAAACCTTTCAATGCTGACAGTCCACTGGTATTTCAGGGCCACACACTGATCATAGTCATCAACCGCATTATAAAAAGCACATAGCAAACCCACTTTAACCAAAAGTAGCACAAGTAGCTGAGCAGGTAAGTTCTTTCAAAACTAAAGTCGATAATAAAAATGTCATGCTAATCACACTATTGTGATTGTAGCTACATTTCTTAGCTGCAGCTCTTTGTTTAATCTGGCCCACTTGTGTAACTAGGTTGGCAGGAATGAGCACGAAGCAAACTACTGCGACATTCCTCACACCTCCCCGTCCAAGAGGCTCAGACACTGATAATGAGGTTACAGCATTTCCAAGGGGCAGCAACAACCTCACGCCACATCAGCATGTTTTAGCCTGCTTAGCT